TTATAAAATCAGTTCATCGAAAAAGTTCGGGGCTAAACTATATGTTGTACAACTGTTTATTTTCTTATTATTTATTGAGTACAATCAATAATCAGTATGACGACCATTAGCACTCTTTACTGCACGAAGTCGAGATGGATACGAACATAAAAGAGTTTCAAACAATTCGGTATTTTCTTCCATGTCCGTCAAAACATCCGCAATGTGCTTTTTAAGTGTGTCTTCATTATATCGATTATGTCCAGTTTCCGATAACATTTTTTGTTCAACTTCATCTTTCATTATTGATCCAATATGTTCCGCCGCATTGAGATCGGGCGAATTACCAGGCCAAATATCATTGCCCCAAAACTCGATTTTGTTATCTCTAATCAGATGTTGAGTCATGTTTGCTCGCATACACGGTGCTTTATCGTGAACAAATATCACATTATCCAGATCAATTACGTTTTCCTCGTCGGTGAGGAATGGAAATACGTGTTGCATTAAAATTATGTCACGAAAATATTGACCGGTCCAAGATTCACCTTTGTCTTTAATCACCCAATGCATTTTTTTCGCGGTGAAAATGATAAAAATACCGATACACGCTTGGTTTTTAACCATTTCGCGATACCTTTCATCGTCTTCAATATCTTCAACACTTTTTGCCCAAATCCTATCATTTTGATAATTTGGTTTGCGAACTGTCCAAACATAAAATTCATCTGATGGTGCCAGATGAAGAAAATCTTCTTCAGTCCAATCTTTCAACCAATCACAGAGCCATAATCGATCTGATATATGAGTTTCAGATTTTAACGGTCTTGAAATAACATGAAAAGGCTTTAATCCTTCCCTACGACGGTAGTTATTAACTGTTTGTCGAGTAACATATTCTTTTTGTTTCTTTGCAATCTCTTTCGCCACGACAGAACCGCTTTTCCGTTGGTGACCACTTGCTTCACGAATAATGTCCTGAGCAGCTCTCGATAACTTGAGTTTAGGACCAGCATTCGAATAATCAGCAAAACATTGGTCACACGATTTTTCCCACCATTCTGTAACAAATCGAGTCGTACGGTGAATTTTGTCGGCAATCCATTGTCTATTTATAAATGTTGCACCAGCATCACGAGCTTCTCGGAAAGTAATGCATTTAATTCTATCAATCATTCTTTGTTGTTCGGTATCATAAGCGCCAGCCATTTGAAATAACAAACGAAAAAACACTGAGATTTCACTCGACTATAACTTTCAGACAGTCCGAGAACGAAAAAATTTTTCAAATAACTAGTATCACGTGGAGAGAAGAACAGAACGCCAAAGAACCATCTTATTGTGTGAGTCATAGTCATATATCATCATCGTTATCATTTCTCTTTCGTTTTCATAAAAAATGTTCGTTTTCAATGTCTCAAAATGTATGAAAAATGATTTTTAACGTGTTTTTGAAAGAAAATTTCGTTGTTTTTAAAAATTTGGTACACGAAAGTTCTTCAAAGTCTTACTATTTACTATCACTAAACCCCATTTTTCACGGGCTTTCATTTGGTATAAAATTCATGATATCTCCGATTCGAGATCATAGTGTTACCCCCCTGGAATAATATTATTTACCACCCTGTACAAGTTCAATGTATGAGAAGATAAGTATTTCTATTAAAATTGATAATTTTATCATTAGTTCTCTTTAAATATCTTTTTAAAAAGAATCAATAAATATTGAGATTATCTATCAGATCATTTTAAATAAATATACAAACGACAAAAAAAATTTAATATATAACTTAATAAGTTAATAGATTAGTCTTATGAAATAGCAGACATTTACTGGTATCTGAAAAATAGTTTCACTTCATAAAAAGTGTTTTTTTTTCATCTTTGAAGGTAACATATCGCCCATTAGCTGTTAAATGATAATATTTTATTCTAATTATGTCTGCATCTGATAATTTTCTGTGTTTATTCAATAAACAGATCATTAAGCATGTTTATATTACTTCTCTGTCAATTCTCATTTTGTAGAGCTGACACTTTTTTAAGAATTTAAGCTATCAAGTTTATATCAGTTATTATAAATATGAGATCAAACAACAATATAAAGAAGCAATAAACTGGAAAATAATCTGTTCGATTTATTTTGGCAAAGACAAATATATATGTTGTGGTCAAAATTCAAATCCAGTCAAATTTTAAATTTGCCCGGGCAAAATTCAAATTAGAATTTTGTCCAACAAAATCCCAGTCAAAATTTTAATTTCACTTTTGGCTAAAAAAATTCTAATTTCGATTTTCACTAAAAAAATTCTAATTTTTATTCTCGTGGTTCCACTACCGGCCGTACTTGTAACTGTTGAACCAATTGTGCAGCCAAAACAGGTCCATGTAAAAAAGAAAATGTATTCTGCTCAACAAAGTGTCACTCAAAAAGAGGTGGATGTTTAAACATGGAATAGATTAGTTTAGGATTATTGTTGCTTTGTTTAATGAATTTTGTGAAATAAAAAAATTGTTCATTCTTTGTGATTTTTTCTTTAGTTTATTTTGTTCATCAAAAGGAATTCCCGATTTCGTCTAGTCAAAATCGAAATTAGAATTTTTTTAGTGAAAAGTGAAATTAGAATTTTTTTTCGTCACAAGTGAATTAGAATTTTTTTAGTGAAAATCGAAATTAGAATTTTTTTTATCCAAAAGTGAAATTAGAATTTTGACTGGGATTTTGTTGGACGAAATTCTAATTTGAATTCTGTCTGGGCAAAATTTAAATTTAAATTTTGACTGAGATTATATTGGGCAAAATTCTAATTTGAATTTTACTCGGGCAAATTTTAAATTTGACTGGATTTGAATTTTGACCACAACATATATAAACATAAAATTGAACATAGCTACAGAAGACTATATATACGTAGAAATAAGGAACTAGATATATAACAATATAAGATAAATGACAGAGAAAATATACTTAATATTCATAGAGAAGTTGAACCAAGTTAATGGAAATAATGTTACACATAGAAAACAAAATAATAAAGAAATAAAGATTAGACACGGATATATGAAATTGAAAATAAATATTATATTTATGTTAAGTAGTCATCTTTAAATATAGATATTCTAAGAATAGAGATTCATCAATTAAAGAGTAATATTACAAACTTCAAACTATGAACAAAAAAAGTTTTGAAACTATGAATATATGCTTTTGTATAAAATTTATTTGAGATAATAGAGTTATGAAGTTAATATTGAATTTTAATAATTCTATATCGAGTCTTGTTAGTTGTTCTTTGTTACAAGTTATGGAAGTTAATTATATACAATAATAATGATATGATCATTAATATGACAAATATCAGTGAGTAAGGGTAGAGATTCGATTGTTACGATGATAGTAAAATATAGTTCTAATTTACTTGACAAGTTGATTTCGATAGACTCGAGCTGAAATAATATAGAGAAAAAATGGTGTGACAAATGATAAATAAAAAGGTAGCTTGAAGATAATGAAAAGAAAAGAAAATATAGCTGTATATTGAACTGTAGTAGGTAGAATCAACATGAGAAAAAATGAACAGAAAGGTGTGGGTGTGAATAAGATGAATAAAGATTTGAATAAGAAGCATTCGAATCAGTTGCTTTTCAGTACGACGACCTATAACAATGACTGGATTCATTTACAAACGATTTACATTATAAATAGTTAAGGAGCCAAAAATTATCATAAGAAAAGGTGCTATTATAGCAAAAATAATCACTTGAACAATGGCAAAGGCTTGTTTAAATATTGTATTCGTGCTTGGTATACATCGAAGTTTATCCAATTGTTTTAGATCAAAAGTGAATAAAACACCGATTTGAAATGTTGCCAATATACTAACAAGAAGTATAATTATAAATCGAGCTATGCGTACACTACTGACAGTACGTTGTCCTTCATTGAGTGAACTGCCACAAAAGCGATCTACTGATGCACATACAATCAAATATACAGATATGTATGGACATAGATTCAGAAAATAACTAATCAATTTACAAACAGCCCCGGAATGATTAGCTAGATTGAGCTGATATCCATCAGATAATAAATTGAATATGAGCAAAACAGTCGAATGGAAAAAATTATTAATACTTAACACAAGAAAATAGAGAGAACACGCATGATTATTAAAAGATGGTCTAGTTAGTATGAAGATACTTAATCCATTACCCAATGCACTCAAAACAATGATAATTGGAAGAATAATTTGTGTTAATTCCATTTCGAGTGTGATTAGCGAATCAGTCATCTCTAATTTGCCAACAATATTGATGTGTTCAGCAAATTCTTTCTTACGCTTCAATATGTTCGAGATTGTTTTCTTTTCTAATCAGAACACAAATAGGAAAACAAATGCTTATTCAATATTAGAATCTTTGTATGTTATCATCTGTGATGACAAAAACAAAACATTTAGTCAGATTCATCAAACATGAAAGCAATAAGTTGATAACTTCAATGTATTATAGTATAAAAAATGTTTTAATATGATGACAAACAGTGATAGAACATTGAAATAGAAATAGAGAAGAGATAATGTTTAGACACAAGAGTTAATCTCTAGAAAGAACATCTCATCAATCGAATGCCTGTGTATGTTCTTCAACGTTCTTGACGGATATATAAAATATTCGCTGAGTATGAAAATGAACAAATAAATAATATAAAAACATAAACATTTCTAGTGTATTATAATTAGATACATTATCGCACAGAATATTATTCCATATTTTAATATAATTTGTTTGAGAATACAAGATATCTTTTTTTTTCGTCGTATTTTTATTAATCATGTTTATATAAAAGAGCAAATAGATTTCTGTAATATGTGATTGATTCTTCAAAAGCACTTTGAAATATATATTTGTAGGTTTGGGTAGATAGAAGATCTAGATTAACAGGCATAGTCACACTCAACTGATCTTTATTTTCATTAAAGAATATAAACTTGAATAAATCTACATAGCTCTTAGTCAAACTAAACTAAGGATTTCACTCTGTCAATATTTTCTTCAGTACGTTGTACTTCTGGATGTGTCGGTGGCAAACTTTTATAGCTAATATTCAATGATTTTTGATAATAATTCAATGCTTCCTGATAATTCTCATTATTTTCATACATAGTACCTAAATTATTGTATGTTAAAGCAATAGCAGGATGATTTTCAGGTAATATAGTCAATCGTATCTGTAAGCATTTATTGTAATATTCCAATGATTCTTTGATTCTTTTCTTACTTTCATAACAATCAGCAAGATGTTGATACGTTTCACATATGTCAGGATGATTGGATGGCAACACTTGTCGTTGAATTTTTAATGCTTCATTTAAATTAGATAGTGCCTGATCGTATGAACCCTGTCTATAATATACAGCACCAATGGCACAATACAATTGACCTTTTTCGGCGCAAATCGATGGTAAAATTTTATTGTAGATAATCATTATCTGTGATGATCGATCAAGTGCTGTTTTATAATCGCCTTTTAAACATAAAGCTTTAGCTTCAATTTCATATGCTTTGGCAGTATTCATTTGAGATTCATGCATTATTCGATCGGAATACTTCAATGCTTGATCGTATTTTCCCATCTGAATAAGAATTTCAGCAAGTGTTCCGAGATCTGTCTCTTGTCCAATTTTTTCTTTCATATAGGCAAGAGTCTCTTTCAATTGATAATCATCATCACTGGCTAATGTTAGATGGGCAATCCAAATATTATCATCTGGTTTTTCTTCAATACTGTCAATGTGAAAGAGAGCACCAAGCATAATCAATACTTCTGCTTCAGTTTTAAAATAACTGATTTCATTTATATCGGCATAAGCTTTTGTTTTTTCACGTGGATTAATATTGATTTCGAAAAGTATTCGTTGAATATCTTCAGAAATGTTAGCATCCAATAAAAACTGCATAGCTATTGATAATTGTCGAGTTGTGGACAAAAATGAATTCATCGAAATATATTTCCCTACACTTTCTTTCATCAATTCGATTTCATCTCTACTCATTGCTTGACCACGATAAACAACAAACGGATCACGTTTATATGTCATACGTAAAATTGATTTTTGTAGTTGTTTTAATTGTTTTGATATATCCGTAATAAAGAAACGAAGAATAAATAGCATATTAAAATCTTGAATTCGAAGAGCTTTATTTAAAATACGATAGATACAACACTCACGTGTATACCAATATATAGCATTGTCTGATTTATATGATTCTTCAAATTCTTTAATGATAGAAAATTCTTTTGGGTTTTCTTTATAATTTTTTTTACAAATATCAATAAATTCTTTTTTGGAATTGACATTATGATGCATACGAATTAATACTTCAATGAAAATTTGAAACCACATAAACATAGCATTTCTGGATTCAAGAGCCCTTGAATCACCACTAATAATTTCTATGGCTGATAATTGTTCAGTTAAAAGTCGATTATTTTGATCAAGATCAATTTGTTTTAGTAAGTCTGCTCGTTCAACAAAAACACCTTGAACCTAAATCAATGAAAAAAAAAAGAGAAAAGAATATTAAAATGATATTCAAGCGTAAGATTTACTTTTGAATATGTTCTTGTCCATTCTTCATGATCAGTTCCATTTAAACAATACACGTAACATGCAACCAATTGTGGTAAGTTGTGAAGACGTGGAATAACATCACGACCCAATTGACCAGACACAATAAGAACGATTTTTTCTTGTTTCGTGGCTCGGATTAGTTTCTCACATGCATCTGCTTGATCAAATATCCGTAGATGATTGATGATTTGACGTAATTCTTGTTCTGTTTCACGATTATCATCTGTATTCTTAACATTCGCGTCAAGCCAGAGACATGCAAACGCTTCCAAATTAGTTATCTGGGTTGATACGAATGGTTTGTTCTTGGATTTTATTGTTTTAATTGGTTTCTTTTTGTGTGACATTAAGTTATTGTTAATAATTGATAAAGAAATAAATTTCGTGAATGTTACGATAGCTTGTATAAAAGTGAAATATGATGTGTTTTTTATTTTATTGTTAGTCTACGATCAACAGGAAAGTTAATTGAAGTTGGAAATTTTTTTTTCCGTTGGCATTGAAAGAAAAGAAGGTCTCTTCACTTGATTGTACATAGATGAAAATAAATGTTGGAATATTTGCTTTTAATGACATTAAGACTGTTGTTTTTTAAACTACATAGAAATAGTTTGCTTGTTAGACTTTTGAAGTACATGACTATTTTTTTCACAATCGACAACAAAAGAGTTATTGAAGCTGAAATTGATGAATTTTATGAAGAAAAAAAGTATAATGTCGTCACAAAGAAAACCATGACGCTCATTTACTAAAAGTATCTCAATTACTACTACTAGAGTTTTACTTAATATTAATAAATTAGAATATAAAAAACCTCGTTGTTACTGAGAACATCAATTTGAATTCGATGAGAAAAAAATGGCACAAACATTGATAGATGTTATCGAAGAAGTTCGAATAAAATAATTTTATTATATTCAAAAATATTATCTCATTCACTTCAATAGAAATCGTCTATTTTTGTTAGCAAAACCTTAAGACTTTTGATCATATTGTACATTAAGAATGTGAGTCTGAGTCTATTATGTATCTACACACCTACCACATTCATCCATGTTCACATCCAGACGCACATCCTTTCGAATGCACATATTCAGACGTTTTCTAAAATTATTTATTCGATGAAAGTGATACCTCGAAACACGATATCCATAGTCTTCGATTACCTTCAACTACTTTTTACTGGGTTCAGTTGAAAAAAAAATGAAAATACAATGAAGTAGAACTTCATAAACTAGCAGCAACTTTAAGTAAGTTGTTTAATTCCTCCTGGTACGGATAGATTGAGTCAAAACAAATAACATAATGAATAAATCATATTTTTGTCTTTTATTATGAAAGAATAATTTCTAAATTATCTAATATCTAGTGGTTCTTTCTCAAGCTTTTTTTTGCACGATGCCTGTAAACGAAGAGAAAAAAAAACATCTTGTGATCACCGATTTTTTTTTAGGTATGGGTGAAGTTAAAGAGAACCTCGCACTTAATCATACATTACCCAGACCAAGACTCACACTCACACCTTTATTTTGTTCCACTTAAGAATTGATAAACTTAAAGATAGTTTATATTAAAAATAAATGAATAATTTTTTTTTAGTCAATTGTACACGACAATTTAACTATACAACAAGTAACGTTCGTCGGTTCGACTCGCTTGACCCTCGACTGTTTAAGACAGAAGTATATTCCGTGTTTGTTGTATGGAAAGAATTGGTCTACGAGCTTTATCACAATAAATGACTGAGATCTCGATTTCTTGAATCATATAAGTCAAAGAAATTGATTGGCCTTTTTGTAAAATAGCTCAGAATAAAGTTTACCTTTCAGATATCGATTGTAAGAGCTAGCAATTCTTTATCAAACTGCACTTTAACTAATAAATATCAGAAACAAAATAAATGTTATACTGTTACAAACTAGTAGCATGATAAAATAAGCCAATTTTAGTTGGTAATATTTGTTCATACAGTAATTAAGAAACTTGCCACTAAAAGTCCTATGTTTACGAACAATATGCAACTATAAATGATTCATTGGAAATGATGAGAATGTGAAGGAATCTGAAAATGTAAATAACTACTCAATATCATTTTATTATGTGATAAAAAAAAACAAAAACTACAGCATAAAAATTCATTATCAAAAACTACCAAAATGGATAGAATATATGTAAGAAAAATCTGCGAGAAAAAGATGTAAAATGCAAAAAAATTAATAGTAGAAATATAAAAAGTTTAACATGATCTACATGTGGAAGATTCAAATGTAAACAATCATACGCAAAATTTCGTATAATATGAAGAAGACATTAAAACCACTCAGAAAAACGTTTTTGTGTTTCTGAATATAGCTTATCTAGTCTTTCTATTTCGGCAAGTTGAGATTTACTTGGTTTAATTAATAAAACCTTGTAATCAAAATATCGCAAAATGACCAGATCAGTCAAACGTTTTACACGCGACAAAGGTACATAAATTGCAGTAATATCATCATTTTCATTTGGTAGTTTCAAATCAATTACAACATTATTTAAAGTTTGGCCTTGACTTTTATGTGTCGTAATACAATAAGCAGGTACAAGTGGTAGTGCACGCCGCTTTATTGATAAAATTGCCTTTCGATTTGATTTTGGTCTCTTATCTTTTGGTAGAACATCGCCAATATCAATTCGAAATGTTTGT